ATTTTTTATTTATTAGGGTTAAAGTAACAGGAGCATGATCACTGACAGCAGATCACTTATAGATGCCGCTGATTTATGGGTTTCTTGCAATAAGACAACAGCTGCATTTAATCTTTTAAGCTGGTTAAAAATCTTAAGCTGTTTCTCTCTGGTGCCAGCTCCATGCACATTCCATGTCACAAACCTTACATTCACCATAGGTGTGAGTGAGAAGATGAAAAGTACATGCCTCTGAATAAATAGTTATACCTAGACCCAGGTAGCATCAAACTGTGTGCTTGTGATTGTGTGGACCACAGGGAAGAAGCAGACGAATAAGGAAAAGGAAGACAGAAAATTAAGAGAGTGCAATGAGTAAGAAAAGGTGAAAGAAGAACCCCAGCCCATGCATTCTGTATCCAGCTGTGACTAACAGTCATACCATGCAAACGTGCTCTAGAGCTGTGCATACCACCTTTTCACATTTGTGAACGACATCATATGAGCAGTTTTTTGTGCAGCACTGAAGCACCTGGCACTGTTTTCTTTGCCTCCCAAAAGCTGTTCTTTAGCGGCAGAGGGGTTGGTAACTTAAGGATGCATGTGGTTTTCACGCCAACCTTTATGTGAGCATTTCTAAAGCTCTAGGTAGAAGGTTGGTTGCTAGGCAACTGTTCAAATGCCAATCGACTGTGGGAAAAATGAAAAATGCAACTAATAGTCGTCAAAGTGACGGCTGTGGGAGATCAAGGTAGAATTAACCACATTAATTTTTTACGTTTTTTATTTTATTAAACAAACTAAGGGAAAATGAAATAAATATAGAAACAGGAAAAGTCAGTTAACATGACATATGATTAATGTAAATAAAGTTCTTTCCCTTTAAAATCTCAGAAGTGGGAGTTCTAGCATTAAAAGCATTATTGCGTTATCCGTTGTCAGCATCATATTCTCTATCTTTCATGTTCATTAAAAAAAAGTCTCCACGGCCTCCTTCACTAACAGTGGTCAATTCATGACACTTAATCATCAATGTGCAAGAGCTTAGAGCGCAACAGGTGAGGCAATTCTCAGCAGCAATGCCCTTCTTCTCATAACAGTGGCTCAGCAAAAGGCTAAAGGGCTATTCCACTTCTTTTCTTACAATCTGAAGTGTTGTTAATCTGCTCTTCTTTAAAAACTATTGCAATCAGACACTTCAGACCTGCTTTATATTATTCCAGGATAAACGCAGAATTTTTAAAACTCCCTTTTGGTTTTGTGAAACTTTTTTTCTCCCTTGTGAAACTTCAATAATAAGTCCTGGAAGGGCTTTTTTCCTTTCTTTTTTTGCTTCTTTGCCACATATTTAACTTGGCATAGCCAGATTGACACATTCTTTTCTGTTCCTACACCGTATCAATGTAGGTATCGTTCTGTAGAGCGTGTTGGCAAAAAGGAGGGACATTCAGTACAATTGGTCATACACGTCACTGCATTTCAAATAGTTAAAAAGGAACAATTGGCTTTATCAATATTCTATTATCATCCTCAGTGTTGGGCACATTACTTTGAAAAAGTAATTAGTTA